GCAGCTATCTCAAACAAGTTTTTGCGGGCTTCGTTTGAGAGCATGTTGCCTCTGGCGTTGTTGAAATTGCATCCCCAATTTGTGTTTTTGGCATTGAAAAAAAGCCTTTGAACATCCTCGGGACACAACGTAGCGCTTGGACTGACGTATACGGACCCGACTCTGATCTCGGACTTTTCCATTTGGACAGCCACTATGGATTCCTCCAGGTTTGCCGAAGGTTTGACGATCTCGTGGTGCTGGATGGACCTTTTCACTGCGATTAGTGTGCCTCCGCCCCTAGTTGGCCTATCTGCTCTGTGTGTCTGATAGTTGCGAAGTGTGAACCTCTCTCCAGGTTTTAGCATGGTTTCCTGGATAAGGCACACATCAACACTGTATTTGTCCAGGAAGTCTTGGAGCTCTATTTTCTTGTTTTTTACTCCATTAGAGTTCCAAGACATGACACACAGAGACTTGGGCCTGAGCAGTCTAGACATGACTGCTCATAAGTGCAATCATTTGCGCTTGCATGGCGGCCATAAATGTCTGCATTTGATTTTGCATGGCCTGGATTGTTCGGGCCAGCCGTTCATGGCCGTTTTTGCCTCCTTGTTGGCGTTGGGGGGCTTGCTGGGGCGGCAGGTTACTTTGTACAGCCTTGCTATAGCTCCTGATGTTTGTGGTGTTTTGGCCGACTGATGACTGTGATGTGGCGAGAGCTGGGAATGCCCTGCGTGCTGGTGGTTCCTTTCTTGGCTGCTGTTTTTGGGTTGGTTCAGCAGGGCACCCGGAAAAGGAGGCTGGATGTGCGCCTCCGCAGTTTGCGCACCTCGCAGCCCTTTCCCTGGGAACTGGACACTCCCGGGATTCGTGTGCGGCCGCACACTTGACGCATTTTGCGGCGGCTGTACATTTTGACTGGCCATGTCCATAGAGGTGACACCGGAAACACTGTGTCAGCTGGCTCTTAGCATGCTGAAATTCAACTCGAACTCTCAGGTTTCCAAGTGACCTTATGTCGAAAATGGCTTTTTCGGTCTTTGGCAGTAGCACCAGAACTACTGCTATCGGCTGGCCATTTTTTTCCACCTCACAATCGTTGTTGGGTGGAATCCAAGTGCTGTTAATTCCTACCCGATTTTGGCGTCGCTCCAAGATTCGACGATGCCTCTGACCACCACTCTCAGCTGCTTCTCTTCCTTCATTTGATAGGTGTGGTACTGGTATTTGTACGTGTCCAGTACCCTAATCATCTGCCTGTAGTCTTCGGCAGTAGGAGGGTGAGTGCTAACTCCCTCCTTGGTGGTCACTCCGCATCCATAATTGATTTTTTTGTCCATCAGTCGGCGAGTAATTTCATCATACTTGTCCTTCTCGCGAAGAACAATTGGAGGCACCTTGGTCCTCCGTTGACTTTGCTGCTGGGCGGCAGGGGTGGCCTGCTTGTTCTGCTGCTCGGCATCAAGCTGCTGGGCTGCAGGATTGGCCTGCTTTTTCTTTCCGATGTCCACTTCCGGCTGGCTAGTCTTCGTCGTCTGAGTCTGGGCTCCTTGGCGAGGGTCCCTTCTTTGTCCCGGCTCTGTGGACAAAGTTTTCGTTCTTGAGTTGTCCTCACTGGAGGACACAGGCCTGGCTCGCTTCCTCCTTCGACGGCGATTTGAGCTTTGATAGCCCTCGCCGTCTGAGGAGTCCGTCACCGGGCCCCTGCCCTCCTTGGCAGCAGTTGAGGGAGCTGTCGCCTCAGCGGGTCCCTCGACCGTTTCACTTTCACTGGTGGAGGCTGCGCTCTCCTCCATCGTCTCCTGCATTTTGGAGTTCTTGGCGGCTAACAGCGTTTCCGCCTTTACCGCCCTTTCCCTCCAAAATGCAACCTCCATCATAGTGCTTTCCAGTTTCGCCTCGAGCGCCTCAAAGCGCCTCAGCACCTCCTCTGCCAGTACTACTTTGGACTCCTCCATGTCCTGCAACACACAACTCAAACGCGAAAAGTTCAGCACTAGAAGCAGCGTAGTTCAATAACTTTCAGCAAACCAAGAATGGTAAACTCTTGTAGACAGTTTTCGCTTCGATTTCCAACACTGTGATTCTGTAGAGCGCGATGCGTAGTACGATGTTTACTGATCAAAGTACGAACTTTCTATCTCGCACAAATTTTATCCCAAACACTATTTTATACATAAATCGGCCCTTCGTGTCATTAATCAAGTGTATAGGGGCAATTCTAATCCTTCAGTTCATGAGGAACAATCCCATAAGAAACACTTCTAACATGTTTAATGGCAAGTGTTACATATTTGTGACCAAACCTCGTCCGATTAGTAAAAACCTTCCTGACATCTCATATTTTAACTTAAAACAATACTTAGTCACTTTTCAATATAGTTCTATCTAATTTAAGGCTTGCAAAAGCTGAGTAGAACTAAGCAAAACACACCGCAATGGCATCTAATCAAAATAGGTGTCTGTCATGTTTTATTATTTGAAGTGTAGTTATAATTTAGCCGCCAGTGGGCGTTTGAACTTTTAAACTTTCGAATTATTTAACATATAAAAACAAATGTCAAAATAAGTTCACATGTGTGATGCATTCTTGTTGTCATGGTAAATCAAATCGTGAAACCTACTTCAAAGTGCAATTATTATATCGGGATGGCCATAGATAGTACGCTATAATTAATATTGTACATAACATGTGTTATTAAAAAAATATATAGAAATTCACCGGAGATTCGGCAGCATTGTAATGTTTACCGACCAAATAATTTTAAAGATGAATAAATAATCAACATCGCTTTAAATTAGGTAGTATTCTAAAGTTTTTTTGGTATTTTATTAATGCTTGAGGTTCTCCAATGCCACAACACAACAAACAAGATTTGACTTATCACAAATTTCATGCATAATTGTTTTTATGTTGATGCCCTGCGACCAAAGTTATAGCGTATAGACTATACAGGGTGGGCCAACGGAAAGTCGTACCCCTATTTATGACTCTCCTGGTAGATTAATATAAAAAAACGTTCGAACACGTCAACTTTCATTTTCTAGGGGACGTCTTGCTGACTATGATTACATTATACAGGGTGTTTTATAAACAAGATACGTCTTCAACGTCACACTTTGAATTTTTAAATGGAAACCTACTACTTTTATGTAATTTGTCGATCCTGCCAAAAGTTTGTAGTGAATTTCGTATAGCATGTGCTATACCATCTTCAACGTTTCAATTTTATATGCGTTTGTTGTTGAATGATTGAGTTATTGAGCCGTTCGAAAGTATCGCAGAGTGCCGTTTCGATGGCTACCTGTGACATAGTAGGAAAGGCAATGAGTCGCCGTCAAGTGTGTGTGAGCTTAAAATTTTTTAAAATTTAACTTGCACATCTTTCATTATAATGAAATTTTCCATTCGAATAAGAAAAGAAATAATGAAAATGTTTTTTGAAAACGGAAGTTCTGCCAGGGCTTCCGGCCATTTATTTAATGAATTACATCCCGACAGAATCTAATCAATCAACGATAAGTATGTGGGAAGATTAATTAGAAAGTTTGAATAATCTGGATCTGTGACTAACATTCTGCACCATCCAATTCGAACGGTGAGAAACAATGCCATTGAAACAGCGGTTTTGGGACACGTTGCACTCCAATCTTCTATTATAATCGTCTTCATTGAATTCATGTACAAGTTTCATTTTGTAAGGTTGAAGTTTATGACTTTTCAATAGTCTTGGTACTGACGTGCGAGAAACTTCGGAAGATGTAGCCAGTTGGCGAGTACTTTGAGTATTGTCAAGTGCTACGTGTCCCAATACCGCTGTTTCAATGGCATTGTTTTTCACCGTTCGAATTGGATGGTCACAAATGCGGATTCTTAAAACTTCTTGATTAATCGTCCTACGTACATACTGGTAATAATTCTGTCTAGAAGTACCTGATTAAATAAACAGGCAGTAGCGTTGGCAGAACTTCCATTTTCGAATTATTTTTTTTATTATATCTACTGTTTGGCGAATGGAAATTTTCATTGTAATGAAAAATGTGCACATTAAGTTGAAAAAACGTTTAAACCCACACTGGCACTTGACTGCGACTCGTTATTCTTGCTAATCTGTCAGAGGTAGTCATAGAAACGACAATCTGCAATACTTTCGAACTGCTCAATATCTTAACAACAAACGCAAATAAAATTGAAACGGTTGAAAATGGGTATAGGACATGCTATGCGAAATTTACTACAAACTTCTGGCAGGATCGAAAAATGACATAAAACTAGTAGATTTTTATTTGAAAATCAAAAGTGTGACGTAGTATCTTGTTTATGAAACACCCTGTATAACGAAATCATAGCCAGAAAGATGTCCCCTTAAAACTCAAAGTTGACCGAAGTTGAAAGTTGACCGAAGTTGAGCGTTTTTTTCTATCAGGAGAGTCATAAATAGGCGTGCGACCTTTTCATTGGCGCACCCTGTATATGTATATTTCAGAACTTTGCTCTACGTTTGTCCGATAGAGTAGATTTAAGAATTTAATATGAGTGTTTGCCTTTATATAAATTTGAGTTGCTCAGATTTGATAGAAATAGCGTTATTTTCGTGTACTCCATAAACCATCAAAATTTAGCGAAGTTCCCATATAAATAGTTTATTTCCAAAATTAAACTATAGTGACAGTGCTCCCACCATATGTTTTTCAGTTAGTAGGCATTAACATAAATATACGAAAAATTAACAGTAACACACACCACTATTTTATTCAGATCGCATAAAAATACGCTTCCTATTAACTAGACAACTTAGAACTAAAAATATTAAATCGGGGACAATGCGGCTTATGTTTACGGCGGAAGTTAAGAAGAGGAGCAAGAAGAAAACTCACCTCAAGACGCGGAATTGCAGTACGATCATTTGGCATTTAAGTGAATCGTTTTAATTTTCAAATAAATCGGCTCAATTGTCCTGCTTATCTTTATACTTAGCCAGGATTATTTTTCAGTCTCAATTTGTTAAAGTACAACTTCCCTGCTGGACGCGCTCATTAACTTTATTAAACATCAGTATACATGATTTCTGAATTTTAAATTGAAAACGATACATAGATAAATGGTATGCCACCCACGCATGAAAAGTTTATTTTATCGGTCGCATATAATATATTAGTCTCTTCGAATACAGACTGAACTTAAAATTCGAGTGATATTCATACTTTTTAGTTTTGTTTGTTTAAATAGCAATGTTGGAAGTATTAACCATGACGTTATAACCGATAATACATTGCCATAGACAAAGTGTTACACTATCTCGTCGCACTTTATGCTAATTTTAGAAATATATTGAATTTTATAGAAAATTGAGAAATGTTTTCTAAAATTTCTTCAATACGGCTGCAAATAATCACACGGAGTGACAGCGAATAAAATATTGAAATTGAATTGAGTAATTTTTATGGAGTTACGTCCAGGTCTAGCGGAACCACTATGCATAATTGGCCCCGAATGCTTTCAAAGAGGCAGTTCTGTTGAAGAATCTGCTGGCTTTAGAGTGTTTTTTCAGATGCAACAATCACTTGGTAATTGTCATCAGGATACTTGCTCTACGTGAACTTAATCCTAATCGTAACTTAACCTAATACATCTTCTCTTGCTTCCTATAATCTTATTTATGGCTAGCCCATGGTCCTCGATGTGGTGCAGAAACTGGTCATCTCATGTGGTCCCCGTCTTCTTCTTACACCGCGTCCGCAGGAAAAGATCTGCGGCCACAGTGAAACTTCTTTCTGCAAGTAACCCTGAAAGTGAGATTCTTGCTTTACCGAACCTTGTACAGGAACCTTGACGTTAAGTTCCTGATGTGGTCTAGCAGGTCATACGTCTTCAGGTCTCGCCTCAGGGTGGTGTTCCTGACACAGTAGGGAATCTTTGCTGCTATCCTCAGAATCTTGTTTTGCTGAACAGCCAACTTTTCTGCGCAGTGCTAGCTGTGGACCAGGAAGAGGATCCATAGGTTAGCACCGGATGTATGCGCTGTTTGTAAGCTCTCACTTTGGTTCGCAGCAGGAGCTTACTTTTCAGCATGAAATAGTAGGGATGGAGCCGGTACCTCATTTGGTCGTGCCATGCTAGTTGTTTATATCCAAGATAAATGTACTCCAAGATAAATGATCTCGGACCTCCATGGTAATTGTTGTTCCCGAATTTCTAAGCGAATTTCTAATATTTAAGTTAAAATATATGCCAAGGCTTAAAGTAGCAACAACGCTACACATAGAAACTGATGATGGTGGAAAACACCGAAACGTATTTTAATTGATAAATAGACAATAAATGACTGAAGCCCAGGAATTGATTTTGATTTGGCATAATTCTTAAAGTGAAATATTTATGATTGTTTCCACCTCGCATTTCAGAATGAAACTTATTACACCATGTGCTATAGTTGGTGCAAGCAAAGTTCGGGTTAATAAGTATGTCAGAACACAGTAGCGTGCACTATCCAAGCTCAAAACGATGCTATCTTTATTGCAGATCTCTTTAATATATTAAATATACTATTGTGACGGTTAAAAATGCATTTTAAATGTTGGTCCGTCTGTCGGCTAACCCATTAGCCAAGTTAGATAGTTGAAATAAAATAATGTGAATTATTATAATACAGGCTGATTCAAAATTGCCGTCATTCCTCTCGAGGTGTTGCCTGGGGGTGCCTTGGGAGTACAGGAAAAATAATACAAAAAATCAATTTTCATTAAAATAATTTCAAATATTTGCAAAAAACTAGATCAGAAGGATGGCATCAATGTTTTTCAAGGTAAACCGCCTAATTAGTATTACGTAAATATTTGTTTCTTCGAAATTATTAAAAACTCCGGTAACCATGGATAAACATGAACCAAAGAATATAAAAGAGACAATAACATACGCTGCGGTTAAGATAACGGTGCCACCTTGCGGTCAGTGGTGCGACGGAACGTCCCCCCGAGTGCTGCCATCATTTTGGAGCAAATCAGTGATATATCTAAATCCGTCACAACCGTCATACAAAACCACCTGTTAAATGTTATGTATCATTCATTAATGCCCGGTTTCCGAACTCCAACATATCGGTTACATAAGCTTATGAGTCTCATAAACTACCAAAATCACGTCTGTTGGGTTTCTCAACGTCTGTTTAAAGCTTATTGGTT